GTAAAGTCACTCATCCACCTAAGCATCCTCATCTCTACAATACTTAACTTCGTATTATGCTTCTCTTTTACTAGCCAACATTCGGTACCATAAAGCATTGCAGGTCTCACCACCATCTTATAGAATTTTCCCTTAAGTTTGAGGGGGACTTTTCTATCGCACAATAAGAACGATGCATTCCTCCACTTCAACCATCCAACTTGAATTCTGCTGATAATATCCCCATCAATTTCACCATCACTCTGAACAATAGATCCAAGATATCTAAAACGTATGCTCTTATTAATGACTTGATCGCCCAAAGTCACAATCCCATCACTAGGTTTATTGCTACTAAAATTACACTCTATATATTCAGTTTTAGATCTACTCAAGAGAAAACCTTTAGACTCTAAAGTTGACCTCCATAATTCGAGTTTATCTTCAACTCCCTCTCTAGTCTTATCAACAAGAAAAATATCATCAGTAAAAAGCATATAGCTGTAGCTAGTCTCTTATTAGCATGTTATGTGGGATTCATCCTATAATACGACAAATTAAGTAATTATGATCCAATAACTAAATTAATAGTCTGTATTATATTTCTCAACCTTGGTCGGTCATAGGGATGTTCATCGAGGCATGCCTTTAAAATCATTCGATATTTATAATATTACTGGATAGGCACAACTTAAAGGGTTGCATTATTTAATTCCACAATTGCTAAAAAATAGATCACACCCTCGTGCTTGTACTCTTTTAAAAATGTATGTTTACTGAAAATGTTCAATGCCTTTTTCACTTCATTGGGAGCACTAGATTCATTTGTTGATTTAGGTTTATTATTAGGCTTTATATATTTCAAAGCCATCTTTCTCTTATTAGTTTTGAAAGTATATGATTAAATCTCCTTGAATGAGTAACTTCTATATCATATTATCAAAGTTTACTCAAAATAAATATGAGCCATGTCAATGGATCTAAAAAAACTTGGTTAGAGAATATTAGAAATGACATTTCTAGATTTAAATGAGAATTTGACTCTTAATATGTTATAATGGAGAAAAATGATTCATGTAGCTGACCCATGTTGTGGGATAATACTTGATGTTGTTGTTGTACATTATCAAAATCTACTTAAAATGTGTAACTTCTACATCACATCAAATTTTATCAGTCTAGGCAGCTAATCGAATTAGAATTAATCATCTTTGAGATCTAAATAATGGCCTCAATGACCAACCTAACTTATATTGTTTTGAATATGGTTCTAGTTTCAAATTCATATGGTCTAGGGTAGACTTACAAATAACTTTCATCTGATTCTCATCATTAATTACAAGCTTGTAAAGCTTCTACTCATGTTTTAAATAACATTGAATAATTATAGTTTTTTTCCAATTAGATTCAATATTAGGAGTAGCTATGAGGCCACACATGACATCAACGAGTTATCAACTAAAAACCTCCTTAGAATGATTAATCCTTTCATCAAACTCATGAATGTCACCAAAATTAATTATTTCACTTTTTTTCTTCACATTTATATGCAAGTTCCTATTAGGGAAATCATTACCATCGTGATTAGTTTGGTAATACTTAAAAACATGCTTCAGCATAAATATTAGACCTAGGCATAGATATAGGGGGAGCAGGCTTTGTGCACTTAAAGGATGCACTAGCCAAAGCTCGAAAGGGTTTCATTTCTTTTGCTTGATGCTTTAATGTGTCTCAAGTAAGGATAATTTATAGAAATACATTATTCATGAAGACTCCTAAATAAGCCAAGGTCTAATGAATTTCACTTTTTTGCTTGATGCTCTAATGTCTCCAAGCAAATATAATTTATACTTATAGAAATGCAATTTCATAAAGATTCATAAATGAACTATTAGATCCTAATAACTATCACTTAACTATAATTTTCATTACTCTGATTATACTCTATTCATTACATTATTGACCCTAACATATAACAAGTGTTGGATTTACTCTACGGGTTTCACATTATTGCTTGATGCCCTAATGTCTCTATGATTATTTATAAAAATTCAAATTTCATAAGGACTCCTAAACTATCTATTTGCTCCTAATACCTATTACATAACTATATACTACATTACTTTGAATATAATCTATTCATAGCATTATTAACCCTAACATATAACAAGCTTTGGATATATAATTAGAGCTATTTGCTTAAAAAAAGAATTCATAGTAAAAGAAATTTAATATATAAATAAATGCAGTGTATTTGAAACATTTTAGAGTTGTTTGGTTGGGCGTAAAACAAATATTGAAGATTAATTTTTTTGTGTTTGGTTTGAAGTAAAATGAATTCAATGTAAAGACTAGCGGCGGTAGTTGCTAATTCGACAAGTACATTGCAATGATTGCGGCTTGTGTAGTGTATTCGAAAATTGGCTAATGAGTTTGGAATTAAACAAATATGAACTAAGGGGCGAGTTTCAAAATTATTAAAATTTTACTTTGTATTTCTTTTCCATCCAATCAAATGCCAACACTCGAAAATCTCTCCGAAAATAACAATTTAGCAAACCAACAGCTCCTTAATGGAAATTCATATTGAAAAATATATGTAAAATGAGCGTGAACTTAATTGAGGAAAGGAGTTGAATACCTCCAAGATTATAGGAATTTACACTGGGCATGTAGAAGAACTTCGATTGAGGTTAAATTTTCCTGTCCTTATTTCTGATGTTTGTAAACATAGACAACCTTCTCTGATTATCTGTCTCTTGACTCTCTTCTATTTGAAAGGTTCTAGAATGAATCAAATATGAATCCATTATTTCTTTTCAAGAAGCATGTGATTTTGAAAGAAAGCAAGTTTACCTCATATATGAAACATGCCTTAATATATAAGCTATGATTAGGAGATGAAGCTTGAGATCGATCAGGTTGAAATTCTCTCGACTATAAACATTTATTCTATTTAGTATTAGCTTATTTTTATTGAAGCTACTATATTTGAAATTAACTGTTAAACGCTTATGCCGTTCAGTAAGACACTTTTTTGTTAAATAATTTCCTTCCAACTCTTATACTTGGAATAACAAACAGGCAATGATGAAGGATCAGTTTGGAAACTATGTAGTACAGAAGGTTCTGGAGACCTGTGATGATCGCAACCGAGAACTCATATTGTCACGCATAAAAGTCCACTTGAATACGCTTAAGAGGTATACCTATGGGAAGCATATTGTTGCACGTGTTGAGAAGTTGATTGCAGCTGGAGGTAAACTCCTTTCTATAATCACTAACCATATTTTTGCATTGGTTATATTAAAACATGTGAGATTATTGGGTTTAATCTCATATTGGATGCTTCGAATATATGTTAAAATAGAAATTCCAAATGATTTTATTTCACCCCAAGACTTCAGCTTGTGAGTTAGTTCACTCGTCTTAACTAGTGGTATGAAATTTGATGGCTCAATTGTGACAGATGATTCATCAAGTTTCTTACTTCTATCTTTGGTATCTTCATCATGGTTGAACAAGGCTTAAGAGCTAGTGATTCTGTTATGGTTCTGCATAAGGCTTAAGAGCTAGTGATTCTGTTATGGTTCTGCATGGTTGAGTCGACTCTTAGAGATTGGCATTCAAAGGCATTGAAAATTCTCTTTTTGAGGAGAGATTATTCTATGCGGATACCGAACGCAGTTCACCGTTCGGAGACCAACCAGAATGCGCCACGTCAGCAGTATCGAGCACGGTACCGAGTGTGGTACCGAGCCGCAGTACTGAGCGGGAGTGATGTGGCACATTTTGGTTGGTATTTGGACGGCGTTTGATATCTACATAGAATAATTTGCCCTGTTTGAGAGGGTGTGATGATTGTTGTGAAGAGTTCTTATATGAGGGGTACTTTGTCAAGACACAGTGAAGTGTTGGGTTTAGTCTTAAGCTGAATGGTTAAAATTATGTTGGTGGAAAAATAAAAGTGATTGACTCTCACTCATAGCCAAGGTTTAAATCTTTTGATTGAAAATGAGTTTTTGAATGCATATAAGACCCAACTTTGACTCCATTTTAGTTCACTCTCTTACAGCACAATCATTCAATCATCATTAATCTTGTTTCAACTATCTAGATTTGGTATTTTGAATTTTTTGTTGTAGTTACAAGGGGATATCAGTTTTACATCAATAGTTTCTCTCCTCTCAACTATTTAGGATGAAATTGAAAGAGATCTTCCAACTGTTTGGAGATTCTCACTGAATTGGTGTATTTATGTATGCAGAAAGAAGGATCGGCATGGCTTCTAGTTATTGATCAAGAAGTCAAGAATTTGTGAAAATAATATTGTATATATTGATGAGGTCAGTCCACCAGCTTGCAACAGGAGTTTTTGTATCAGCAGAAATGACAAAATCAAAACCAATATGGCCTTCTTGAGCTGTAAATATATGTCAGGCCTTCTGTAACAAATTGTTATTCCCATATTTTCCATGTATATATTAAGCCTAAGTTGTAATCAATCAGTTTTAATATCAAACTAATAGCAGAGTTAAGGAAAGTGAACAGTAGATGTTTGACCTACAGGTTTTTCTGAACTGTATAGTTAAGCAGATTGTAACAAAGAGATTGTACAAGTTTGCAGGTATTCTTCATGCAAATTACAGTTCTGCATCACCTGACATTTTTTTTCCTTGTTTATGAATTAAATTTGGTTCTTCATAATTTATGTGCTTGTTTATAGTTCTGTATCCTAAATTAAAGAAATAATTTGCAGTTTGATTCAAAAATAAGAAAATAATATGGAGATTTGAAATGATAACTTTCCTATGAGAGGAAGCTCAATCAACAAAATAATGTTCCAAAGGAACAGTGGTGATGTCTTCCTTTTGCTTTTGGTGATGTCTTCTTTTTTATTATTTTATTATTTTTTTATTTTTTATTTTTTAGTGATGTCTTCTTACATGTGTGTATGATTAAATTAGGGTTCAAAATTTCAGATTTCATAAGCAATACTCATCTGTTATTGCTACCTTAGATGTTTTTGTATTGTTTTATAGTTTTAAGGAAAAATGGTATACAAGAACAAATAATTTGTTGATTGAACAGTGCATAAAATTAATTTGTAATGTAAATAATCATGAATGGAATGAAGGTCATCTTGGTCTATCTGTTAGTTGAGAGTTTTAATTATCAATTAAGAGGTTTTAGATTCAAATCTTATATATATGATGTGTGAATTTATTTTAATTGACTTGAATAATCATAATGAGATAAGTGTTATTTTTAATCTGCTCCATAGAAGAAAGTGAGCTATAATGTCTAAGGCTTTGTTTGGGATGACTTTCTTACTGTTTTTTAAAGCAGTTTATTAGTAGGAAAATTTAGTAGAAAAATTTATTTTTTGTACTAAAAAGTTGCTTTAAGAAGCAGTAAGAAAGCTATCACAAACGAAGCCTAATTTTGTCAGCAAAATTCTTTTCGATCACATTCAGTCATACAATAATGCAGAAAGAACAGTCAAGTGTCTCAATGAATCTCAGGTTAGCAAGAAACACAAATTTGCAGTCTGAATATTGGAGCAATGAAAGAATCACCATTTGTGGTCCAGATCTCAAATCAAAAGTGATCCGAAAAGAAATGCTCAATACATCCCTTAATTTAATATATTTTACAACATTATCTCAAACAAAAGATAGAATATAAAAAAGATGTGATCCAAAAAACCTTCCAACTGGCTTCATAACGGCATCTTTAGTAGGATTCAAAACATATTCCTTTTCATCTACTCAAGCTACAAGTAATCTCAATCTGCACCTCTTAATTTGTCAAACTCTCTAAGTAGAAAAGCCACACAACCACAAATACTATAAAAAGTGTGTTGAAAACGTAGCAGGATGAGCTTCAAAACTCTTATGATATTGACATTAGTAATTTAAAGGTGAACTGTACTAACTTGGCCTGCAATATCTCTGCTGTGGACCTGAGAAATGCCAAAGAATGATGCAGGAATGCTGTGTGATCTACTGCGAATCCTTTTGATATCACTTTGTGAGCGATTCCTGATTCTTTCATCCTTGCTTCTATGATTTCTATCTGAATGAGAATAGCAGCGCCTAAACTTGTTAAGGGTTTCATTATTTTCCATGTTCTTTCCTGAAGTAGTTTCAATCAGTGCAGTTCTGGGTTCCTCATCGTCATCAGATGAATATCCATCCTTCATGGCTAAGTCGTCGTACTCCTCATCTGATTTAGTTGATTCCTCATCTACAGAACCCTCCATCTGAAGGGCAAAAAACTAGATTTGTAGACGATTCCAAGGCTAAAAATAGATGCTAAGGCTTCATTTGGGACGGCTTTCTTATTGCTTTTTAAATCAGCTTTTTAGTACAAAAAATTTAATTTTTATGCTAGAAAGCTACTTTAAGAAGCAGTAAGAAAACCGTCCCAAACGGAGCCTAAATAATCATTTCATCGTTTGAATCAGCAACTAATGACATTACAAGTTCAGATTTCTTACCTCCTCAGGTATTTCTACTTCTGAGTCACTTTGATCATCTTCACTGTCGGCAATGGGGGGTTCAATAGCTTCATCATCACTTCCAGATACAGAGTCTTCTTCCATAGGCTGGCAGGAAAAAAATAGTCAAATGTTTGCCAACAACATAGGAGATTATAGTTATTGCGTCATTCATAATCCAGAAACAGCGCAGTATTTACAATAAGAAATTAAGATTGGCTACTTGCTTTTGTTTTGAACTCTATCTTGTAGCTTGCTTACCTAGTTTATTAATAGAAGCTAATGACAAAATTGAGAAAGAATCAATGAATGAATAACAGTCTAAACACAAAAAGAAAATACAGAATCTCGTCATGGTGAAGAACATTTTCATTTTGCAGGTGAAATTGAATGCTTCAGTTAACACAGGAAATGATGAAAGTATCATTAAGCTGACAACAACAACATCAAGCCTTTGTCCCATTACATGACATGAATCCTTTTTCATTAAGCCGACTAATAAGCTAAATTTGAATTAGGCCGAATATGAATTGGGTTGAGCCTATTAAAGATTGACCAAGCTCAAGATCAGATCAAAATGTTTAAGCCCGTATGAATGGATATGCGTATGTGTGTGGGGGGGCTAAGAATTTAGCTTATGAGATCTAAAATCAATCAATTTGGATCAATTTTTGGCCCAAATGGAGATTTGATTGAGCAGGCCTATAAGTAGACTTGGCTCAGCTTGAGATTGGATCAAATGCCTTTGAGTGGGTCTTGAGTTGGGGTCAAATTAGAACGATATCATATTGTTATAAATGTGAAAAAAGCCCAGCAAAGTTAACACTCAAATATATAGCCAACATATAAAGTGTAGATGAAACTCAAATATATAAACAAGTATATAATGTGTAGATAACCATAGCAAATAAAAACAAATTTCTTGATGCCAACTTTCAACATAGATCAAGTAACTAGGGAAATAATGCGATTACGAAGATCATGTTGGGGGAAATAGAACAGCTATAAGGGGACAGTTTAAATTTAGGATGTCCACATTGCAAGCAATAGAAGGATGGATCATAGATTTTTCATGACCTACAAATGAAACAAGAACAGTTAGCTTCATTCACATTCCAATGTCTTTCTGTTCTCTGAGTTGAAGTTTACAAACATAGATAATTAGGTACAAAACAACTAAATTTCTATTTAATTAACATAAAAACATCAGTACAAACTCCATCATAATAAATAAAAAATGAACACACGGCAGACAACAAACATTCAGTTCAAAATTGCAGAGGAACATCCCGAATTTAACCAGTGAGGCAAAATTCCGCAGAATGGATTAACCGTTTACCTCTTTTGAAGCTCCTACTGAAACCCTAGGAGAGCTAGGAGAAGAAGAAAAGCATCGACTACCAGAGTCGGTGCCATCAACCCTCGAATCATCCATGCTTCCAGCATAACTTGCAGCACCAGTATCATTGGGCCAAGCACTGATTCCATAATTGCCAAACTGAAGATTAATGGGCTCTGCCTTGCCAATTTTCAAGGGACCATACAATGGGCTTCCTACACAGCTCTCACTTCCACTGTTTGATCCAGGAATTGTTTTAACATTAACGGACTCCACTGGCCAAGCCTTAGCAACAGACCCATCGGTATTAACAAGTGCCATGAGATGCCTAGAAGATCCTAACCTCTGTATCAATTGAAACATTCGTTTTGAACTCAGTGAGTTTGCAGCACATTGGTTTCTATACTCTTCATTAACTATGGGTGCTGTATTCGTGATTGGATCATAGAGCTGGTCTCCTGCTTCTCGCCTCCTCAGGCAGCTAAAAACTGTGGCATGAATTGCAGCCACACTACGATCAACATTTGTGTTATTTATCTTGGGCACCAGATGTTTGTCAGCCCGGTTGCAGAGATAGTCCTGAATCCTTCTTATGTTCCGAATATATTTGACGTACTTATTTTTTTCAGGGTCCAATGTCATATATTTGGCACGCACAGCAAACCTTTCCATATGTTTGTCCTCATTCGTGATATAAATCATGAATGGTATAATTGAAGAATGCTTTTTCATTAGTCCCATCTAGCAAAATGGAAATATAAATATCAATTCTTATTCAACATTTAGCATGCAATAAATTAGGAAAGTGAGGGACGTGCGGGGAAGCACTATGGTTGAGCGCAGTTGTTGCCTCCCCGCCGGCTCCCGTTCGATTCCCCAAACCGGCACAAAAAAAAGAAAAGTGAACTTATAAATGTCTATGTCACAACATGCATTTAAAAAAATGTTTTCAACCAGATTGTTAGGAATCCCACAGCAGAGAGGAAAAGAAAAACCATCTAGCTCCAAAGGAAAAACAATTAATGAAGTATGTGGTTTTTTGTTTGGCAGCAGTCCTATATACAGCCTTAACAATTATGATAATCAAATGCAAAGATGGATAATAATATATCATTTTGAGAGCCAAACTGTGCAATAGTACCTACCACAAAATTGAGGCTTAAGTGAACACCTTCAACAATAACAGATTGCTTCCGATTTTCCCAAGCTGTAATCAAACGATCAAGACTGTCGATGACCATCTCGCTCTGTGCCTTGAATCCCTCAACTGCCAATTGCTTTTTGCCAATTACCTCGAACCCTAAACCTCCGGCCAGCGATTGCATCTCACACTTATCAAATGAAGCATTATTGGGCAGCCCTTCCTTAACAAGAGAGTTGGAAACACCAGCTAATCTTTTTGCTTTCCTTTTAGCCTTTGCTTCTGCAACTGCTACGGGATCCAAGTATTCACCGGCATGATATGTAGAGGACCACAGAAGTGGATTTTCTTTTTCATCTACAAAGCTTCTCATCATGTGACGAATTGAATCAGTTGAAATCACAGTTGTAACGCCCAACCTGCTTCCCTGCATGAAAATTCTAAAGCTTAAGTACACAAATAGTACAGTTCCGCTCAGTTCCATTTCAAAGCTAAAACAAGTGGGATTTGTACAAGAAAGCCATAAAGGGCTGCTGAAATGTTGAAGCCTATTAGCTATGGGTTAGCTTGCTGATGATAGCTCCAATGTTGCAAAACCGAAATACTACAAATTCTTATCACTAATGACAACAAGGTGATGAAACTTCACTTATTTGTAGATATAAGAAAGGAAAGAAAATACTATAAACATTACTATAAGAAGATTGGTTTCAGGCCAGATTGTTATTCTCAGATGATAATGTTTTAACAATACTTCTCACAAGCATCATAGAACCAAAGCCAATACAATATACAAGAGGAGAAAAACAATAAAAATGAGGATGACTAAGAAAAAAGATCTGCCTCTTTTGCAAGGATAAGACTTCCATTTCATAATGGACCAAAAGTGAAGTAGGAAACAATAAATAAGAATTACCTACATCCTCATTTAACAAATAATGATCGAACAGAATATATTTAACCAAAGTATGGAAATAGGAACAAGCTAATGTGTCAGCAAACAGTATATATCCAATTTTAAATCATAGGTAAGACCGTAGTCATTTAGTTTAGAAATGCCGAAGAATGAGGAAATGCCAACAGCTACTACAACAAGATAGCATACAATATCCAGAGAACTTATGCCTGGAAAAATTCGATTACAAAATATTAGGGCATAGTTACCAGTAAGGCCGATAGGGTAGACTTCCCACACCCACTTGTTCCACACAAAAGAATTGTAACTGATTCCTTTCTTTCTCGAACTCTATAATAAAATAAGAAAAAGTAACTGAGCTTCATGCATGTGAGCGCAATTGAATAGTATGGCAATAAGCATGCTCAAAGAAACAATAAAAAAAAAAGATTAAATGGAAAGAAGATTATTATTATATCTGAACTCATGCATGCTATAATTTATCAATTTCTACAATATATGTAAAAGAATAGGAAATGTGAAAGAATATTTGCAGTAATTGCATGACTATCAATAGCTTCCTCTTAAGTCAATAATGGTTGATTTTCATACATTCTAGTTTAGAATCAGAACAAAAAAATAGACCTCTATAAAAACTGATAGCAATTAATGTCCAAATATATGTGGGAAAAAAGCAAACCTAAACAGAACCTTTCTTATATAATATTAGATTAAAAAACGCACTAAAAAACTCTCAAAATCAGTATCATATGCCAAAAAGAGAAAAGTATTCCATTCTTAAAAAAAAATCATATTTCAACATAGTCTTTACACTTCATTGTCTGAATATTCTTGTTCTAATAATTTTAGAAATGTCCACAAACTTCAAATAGTGTATAAAGCTGCATGATTCCACATATTTATTAGCGACAAGCCTAACAAAAGTCAATGTTCAGTCCTTTCAATTCCAAGGAACTTCCATTGTTGTTCTGATGCACCAAATTTATCCTTCAGGTTGAAGGTCTATATAACAAAAGAAAGAATCACAATTTGAATTCCTCGAGTAGTTTCAAAGGTACCCCTAATAAAAGTTTGATATTGATATATTTCACAAAAACCATAAATAATGCTTCCTTTCAAAGTAAAAATGTACCCCCCAAAAGGAATTTTATAGAACTGGTACCAGCTAATAAATTGAAAGCATCCATATTATAGTCCTACAAACCATAAGGGATTTATCCTCAAATTAAAACAATTTTGTGTGGGCGCCAGCGCCAAATCTTTCTCAATTTATCAGCCAACAGTTCTTCATATGCTCTCGGATGAAGTTAAATGCTCATTAGAACAAACAACTCTTAAGAGCTACATATCTACTTTAAAATCACATTAAAATTTTTATAACAAAGAAACTGTTAAGCATAGACACTTTAAAAAACCTTATGTGCCCATGTCCATCACCTGTTGGACAAAATTATACTTATGACAGATCCCAACATATGTCCTACATGTTGAAAATCATGCATGATTTTTTTTTTCTTTAAAATTAGAGTAGAACATGTCTCAAACACATTGAAAAAGATGATACACACAAGCTATTTCTTGTTCAGCAAATTTTTTATTCATGTTAGATGATCACTAGGTCGAACGGTCAAACCTTAACAATGTTAGTAATGACATAAAATGTCTAATAATTGATGCAAATATTGGTGTGTTGTTTACTACTAAGTACACTTATAAAACATTAAATTTTAATTATCATTAAACCAATATTAGTATATCTTTTGTTGATCCTCAAGTTTTTTTTGTGATAAATATTACACCATACATCATTATTAGACATTTTTGGTTTACGAAAATTGACATTTAGTGTTTTAATTACACATTTATATTAGTAATTTAGAAAATAAAACATCATGTCTATGGTGTACCATTTCCTAGTTTTTAAAATTATGTCACATCCATGTGTCCTATCATGCCATGACAGTGTCTTATGTTAGTAGTGTGCATATTTCATGGAGATTATGAGCTACAACTCCACTATAGACCTTGAAAACAAATCCTGCAATATGCAAATTAAGATTAAATTTGTATCAATTCATACCAGGCTTTTAGTGTTTATCTTGACCTCAAGTTGAAGTGAGGTCAAGTAAATGCTGTCATTCTAAACTCTGCATGTATTGCCATCAGTATCATGTTTGATTAATAGTTAAAAAAATTACCATCAAACAGCTTAATTTGCAAGCAAGATGAAGAACCAAAATGTGGCGACTCATGAAGCAAACAAATTCGATGTTCTATGCTTCATCTACTCAGGACAGTAGATCATTATCATGCACAGAAAAGGATTCCAAGAGTAATTTTCAATAAATCAAAGGATATAAAGGAAACTACAACTAATAGTATATGAGTTAAATAATGGACCATCTTAGTCACCTTATTCATATCAAGTAAAGAAATTATGTTATTACTAAATCAGCAATATGCACAACACATGTAACTTTGTGAGAAGGTTAAGGCAAGTCAAAGCATGTTATGACACAGTTATTAGACTTAACTCTTAAGAGATGAGATTTATCTATATTCAACCATATTTCGAATTAAAACAGTAAAAAAAAAAGGAAAAAAACTAGGATAAAGAATCTCTAAAGATAGTTACAGTTGAATACGGTGCAATGGATTTAAAGCTAGCTTGAGCTGCAATGAAACATAGGGAAGTATTACATATATTTTGTTAACTAATCTATCATCAATAAGAAATTCAAGGGCTTAAAAAGATATAATTATATTATTTTATAACTTGATTCATTAGGATTTAACTTGGTAAACAAAATCCAGTGCATTATAACAAAATACGATAGGATAGATTCCTACCTGCATGCCAAGAGAAAGTCAGTCCTTTGATTAGGGCCTACATACTTATAAACAGAAAGTGCATCACAAACAACACTCAAGAACTTTTCTCTAGTAACTATGACAGTTGTTTGCCTTTTATATAGTTCAAACTGTATTGAACTTCTCTCGATGTTTTCATTTATAATATTCCGGCTTAGCAGTTCATGATTATTCACTTTCCCAGATCTTGCAGCTGAAATATCTGAGAATGGTAAATTAGCCCCATCATGAGTAAAGCCACCTTTTTTGCATTCACTTCTCATCACATCAAATACCCTTCGACTAATCTGTCAAGAGACAACATAATTCTGTTCAGAAAAGCCACAACAAGCTACTATAATGAGAAATACAAGAATTCAAAAAGGTAGCAGGAGATTTAATTCACTTATGGACATTGCCAATGAAGATACTAGAACCAAAAAAAAAAAAAATCGCAAAACATAAAAAATAAGAGTTCATAAGTGATTCTCCATGCGAAATTCTTTTTAAAAGGGTGGTAAGCAACCACACTAGTCCTGTAACACATAATTGAACAAAATGTTCGATCGAAAACAAAAATATTCTAAGTTGTTTCTCTATGTACAACGGGGCTTCTAATACCTACATTGGTGAAATGTTTTCAAAAGTGAACAGAAATCCCTAAACAAGGAGAATAAATGAGCTACTATTTAGCCATTACTAGATTGGAAGTCCAAATTTCAATTATCAAAACACGGCATCAGGATTATTTGCAAACAGAGTCAGCCGATCCATAAAACCAAAGAGAACAAAGACATCAGCCAACTATGACATTCCTAACTTTTCAAATTCAAATCTGCAGATGAAGACATAAGCATATTGTCGTGACTCGTGAAACGAGGAACATAAGACAAAATGTTCTCCAACAATCAACCCTAAACATTCCAAAATCACCACCTTATAGGTAATAAGATCTTAAACTAAAGTTCAAACCTTGAACGCGTGCCGTGCCTTGCATCCCATGAGCTGCAACGTACTTTGCAGCACCGGCCGCGTATACCTGAAGGTACCTTCATCCCTCTCGTCCCCTCTTTTCTCATCCTCGTCCACCACCACGATGTACAGTATCTTCGGAGTATCAACCATCCCTAATAACCACGACAAGATCACGATCTACTTAAAAATACTTCCAACGCCAACACTAATTCCACCTGATTCTAACCCAAAGAACAATGTGGGATTAGACAAAGCCAAATAAGTAGAGAAATGATCGAGAAATGGGCTTTGAGATCCGAACCGCGAGGTTAAATGTGCGATTGATCGGGAGCAATGGATAGGGCTAGGGTCCGACTTTGAATGGCTGCAAGGGATCAATTAACCACGGGAAGAGCACGCATCGCCGCCTCGACGTCATCTTCTCCTCAACGTCTTCCACGCACCCCAGAGATCCGGGCAAAGCTTGGTCTCTACGTTGCTTTTTCTCTATGGCGAATCTGTGGGTGGTACAATCTGTAATTAAATTAAAGGGATGAGGGTAGGAAGTTCAATCGAGAAACTGAAGGTCAACGTACACATAAAAATGATATATATTTCAATAATCTCATTGGACTAAGCTGGGTTGGTTGGGGAGCATGGTTATGAAACTTTTATTTGGTCCGGTCATATGACGTAGCTCTACGTTCGCCCGCCAGTAGAATCGCGCCATGCGTTGTCATTATTTACAGCGCGCCCCGATAACTCGATCCGGAACGGACCCATGATGGCTCGGTATTTCTCGATTTTGCTAGGTATTACTCGGTATTGCTAGGTATTGGTCAATTTTGCTTGACAATAACCAATACGGAGCAAATACCGAGCAATACCGAGCAAATACAGAGTAATACCGAGTTGAACATAGCATTCCCAGGTTCTGCTCCGGGTCAAGTCGTCGGGCCGTGCGGTAAAGAGTAAGAGCACGTGGGGACATGTTATTGGCAGCCGAACGTAGCTCTACGTCCGGTCAGAGGACGTAATAATTGTTCCTGATTATGACCTCCCAATTCACGTTCGATTTTCTCTTGTGCGGCACAACTTTTTAAGTAGGAAGAAAATAAGTACGTGATTCATAACCTGTATGGGGTTGTTTGCCGCTAAGCCTGCTAAGGGATTAATTACTCCATCAAGCGTATACTCTAGGAGAGATTATTCTGTGCGGAATTTGAATGTATTCGAGGACAAATCCGGGCGCGCCACGTAATTAGAAGCATTGGGCCCCGTGACGTGGCATGCCCGGATTCGCATCCTAACACGTTCGGATTCCGCACATAATAATTTTCCCTACTCTAGAGGGTGACAACAGATAGATACCCCTATTTCCAAAAAAAAAAAAAATATATTTCGATAATTTTTAATTAATGCAATAAGTTTGTTCTAATTAATTAGAATCTTTCTTCTACTTTACACGTTACAAATTTTGTTAAAATTTAATTTGAACTACATGTAAGTAGGTAGGTTGTCGAATATAAATTTATGTGTGTAACATCAAAATTTAGTAGCAATATTCGCAAAATAGCACAAAGCATAAAATAGAGAGAGAGAGAGAGAGAGAGAGAGAGAGAGAGAGAGAGAGAGGATTAAAGGAAATTAAATATTTTGCTCTCTAATTTCATATAACATAATTAGTAAATTTATAAAACGAGCTTCATATCAATCAAATAAATTTAAAATATCATTTTTTTTTTCACATTTCTTTTTCTAATGCCTAAAAATAAAATTTTAAAATCATAATCAAAGATATTTAATTAATTTATGTGCTCATAATAAATAAATTTCTAAGTGATCCTTGAATATGATGCATGCATTTTTAAAGAAAGATTTTGATTTCATTAAATGACATAACAAAAAAATTTAAGAAATTTTTTAATAATTTTTTAGTTGATCAAAATCATTATATATTGGCTTTGGGATTAGTGAAATTCCAAAATAAAGTGAATTATTTATAAGATTTTTATTCAATATTGTCATGGAGAAAATGAGATATAAATATGATGATCTAATAAAAATTTTATGGATCCTTTTAAAAAGGTATCTATGATAGTCAATAAGAAAGAAAAATAATAGAGAAATATATACTTTTAAAAAGGTTTCTATAATTTCTCTAATGCTCGATTTAGAGCAACTAGGAATAAAAGATAGAGGAGATTATTGAATGTTCTAAGAGGAATAAATAGATGCTAATAAAAGAATGGACGCTAATATCTCTCACCCATATGTAGAATATTTATGAAAGATTTAGGTTTTGTTAGGGATAGTTTTCGTATTACTTTATAAAACAACTTTTTAGTATTTTTTTTTTTAAAGAAAAATTTTGAACTAAAAAGCTGTTTTAAAAAGCAATGAGAAAGCTGTCTCAAACGAAGCCTTAAGAATATGTTTTGATGGTTGCAACTTTTTGTAGCTTCTAGTTAAAAAATTTATCGAAAGCAATAGCCAAATAGAAGCAGTATAGTTTACAATCTGAAAATCAAAACAGTAAGAAGGTTGTCCCAGACAAACTTTAATTTTAAATTATTGTTAGATCTTTCTTATTAAGGGTGTCAATTTTTGACCCGACTCGAAACCTGACCCTGAAAAATCTGGGTTCGGGTTGACCCATTTAGCAAATGGGTCGGGTTCGGGTTCATATTTTTGACCCGTTTAAAAAACGGGTCGGATTCGGGTTGACCCGAAAACCCGAAATCAACCTGTTACTGACCCGAAAATCGAGTCCATCCATGTTTCCGGTCGCCGTTGCCGCACTCGCGCCATCACCCCTTGTCACGCTCGCGCTGCCGCGCATTCCCGCGGACTCCATATTCACACTCGCGTTGCGTCACTCAGTCGGTGGGTCCCGTGGACTCCGTCTCGGACGCGCGGTGCGGTCCTGCGGACTGCCGGACCCGAACTCTGTTCCAAAGTCCGAACTCGTGCGGTCGCTTGGTCCAGCGGACTCGTTCAGCACGCGGCACGCCACGCGCGGTCCAGCGGACTCCTATCTCCGTCTGCACTCGCGTTGTCGCGAGCTCCGTTCTCTTCCGCGAGGGTCGGATCGGGTCAACCCGGCAACTCGGCCGGGTCGGGTCCGGGTTGAAATGTCCAACCTGTTTGCAAAAATGGGTCGAGTTCGGTTGACCCGTTTAGATCGGGGTCAACTCGGGTTCGACCCGAACCCGACCCTTCGACCGGAATTGACACCTTATTTCTTATGCTATTGGATTTATAAAATGCCGTAATCTCCTTCAAATCAATATCGCGATAATGAGCGGAGCAACATACTAATATTACTAATCTATTATGATTAGATTAATGAATGTTTTAATACGCATATAAGTATATGATTGAGATAGAATGAATCATGATTAATTAAAATAATTATCTCTTACAAAAAAAAAAGGTGATAAAGATTTAAAGAACCTAACAACATAATAACAAATAGTTTCTTTCTTCATGAATTATTAGAAAATTTAAAAGAAAGAAATATCAAGACTTTATTTTTACTCTGTTCACATTTGTCTCTTAAAATGGAGTAGCTATCATGTGTGAATGGGGGAAGAAAACAAGTGGAAGTAAATGGATATCTTTAATTGGACAGCAATTGGAAATGGACAGCCTTAATTTCTTCATCCTTGGATTGAAAAATAAGTTGTGTAAGAGAAAATATGAGGATCTTTTAGCCTTTTTATGTAATTTTTATATTTGATATGATATATTATAGTATAAATGAGCTTATATGAATTTGCTAGATCCCACTATATGAATCATGATATATATTAAGGGAGAATAATAAATGGAAATAAGAGATTGTCAACAATTCTAAATATTGAGAGTAGAGGTGTAAATCGGTCGAGTTGAGTAGATTATCGGTCTGATTGAGTTGATGTCATCTAATTCTTATTGAGTTCGGTTCGGCAAGTTAAAAAATTTTAAGGATCGGATTTGGCTCGATTGCTTGAGCTTAAGCTTGACTTGATAGAAGAGCTTTAGTTTTTTTTAATTGTTTACTTATAGAAATCATTTTAAAATATTTAAAAAATATTATATAATATTAATTATATATATATATAAAGTTAATTAAGCGGCTCGACGAGCTTATGAACCGACCCAAGTTTAGCTCAAGCTGGAGCTTGTATATTACATGAGCTCGAGTATAGGCTCAAGTTGGAACTCGAGGCTTGATAAGCTCAACTCAGGAGCTCGTTAACGAGTCAAGTTTGAGCCAGTTCACGAGTTAGCTCGACTCACTTACACCCTTAATTGAGAGATTGAGATGGAAGAAGAAGAAGAATACAAAGCAAGAGAATTAGGCTTCATTTGAGACAATTTTCTTACTGTTTTGTAAAGTTGCTTTAGAGAAAATAAAATTTTAAAGCTATTGTAGAAAGTAGCTTTTTAATATAATTTTCTTTAAAAGCAACGGAAAAGTAGTTGGCAAATGAAAAATAATAGTTATAGTTTGAAAAGCAAAGCAGTAAGAAAACTGTCCCAAACGATACCTTAGTTCATTTCTTCATTGATGTTTTATTAGGACTCCTTAACAATCTATTAATCTCAGAGTTACAATTAAACAAATGGGCGAAGCATAGCTTTCATGAGATTTAATACAATAGTGAAAGATATCCGTTGGTCATTGTCAATTATGAATTTTGTTAGGAATATGTTCCCCTCCATTATTGAAATCTGCCCATTTCCAATATGATCATGCCTAAAACATAATAAGTTGATAATCCAATTGGTTTATTAAAAACTAGAAGAATTGGCATATTTGGATTATAGAAATTATGGATTAGGTAAATATCTTTCAAATATGATTTGAAGGATTGAACGAAATTCGTGCACATTTGAATCAACTTAATTGGTTTCAAACGAGTTTGAGCCAACTTGAATCATTTCTAAACTTGTTATGATTTGAGTGTATTAGCTTGGTTACTCGTCCTAACTCGAGAAGTCACTAACTTTAGCTTGAGGGGGCAAATTGCTTAGTCTATGGGGGTACTAGAAGATCACTCGGCTCAAGTAGAACAGGGCTACTTGCTCAATAATCAAGATAGAGCCTTTTCTACACATATACCAAGTTTATGAGTTAATCGACAAGTTGGTATTCCTTTTTGGAGACTTGTGAACTCATAGACATGGTCGGCGACTTCCTTTGACCACTTGTCCCAATGAGCTGTCAATATCTACTCACCGGTATTTTGATGTGTGTGCCTGCTAGAGATATATTCATGTGTATATAATTATTTTATCATTTATTGTCATTTATTTATTTTTGGGATTTAGGTATAGTATTTCATGTAGCTTTCAAAAACCTATTAAAAGGGCTAATAATCTAGGCATTTTTGCTAAATATAAAATCTCATAGAACTCTCTCTCCCTTCTTTGCTTAACATTTGAGTCATATAGATAGTGTTATGGTATGCCCATAGGCAAACATGGACTCAACATCATCTAAGGTGTGATAATCTAGGATGAATACTAAGAGCTAGATACTAAATACTGTAAGAACCAAATCATCCAAATAGAGAAAAAGACATAAAAATGGAGAACTAGGAGTTCAATTACATGAAGGCAAACCATCAAGTGCAAAGGCTCTAACCTCTACATCTACTTTAGTTGGGACTTATCAACCCAATAACGATGAAGAGTCCACTAGCCCGCCAAGACAAGGAGGCCCAAGTTAATACACAATTTGTAACGAGATCATGGAGGCCAAACCCATGGTAGAGTGAAAATACCTTTCCTAGAATTGTACAAATGGATGGCAAATCTTGCTTAGCATGTGGTATTCTTCAAGTTGGCCACCTCACTGATGGGCACTAATGATCCTCTAAAGTGTGTCTTATTTTTTCTACCTCCAAGGAATCACTTTTTTAGTGGTTATTGTCCTAGCCCCTAGAGGTTATAACCTCATTTACCATTTTCAAAATGATATTCATCAACCAATTTACTAGTGCTTAGAAGCCAATGAGGAACTCACAAACTCTTCTTAAGATGAGGTGAAAGTCAACAAATCCCTTAAGAACTTCATTGTGAGGTTTCAGAGATAGATGCTAGAAGTTAAACACCTGAAACTTATACTTGCCCAGGCTGTCCTTGCTCAAGGTCTATAGGAAGAACCATGCATTTGGTTATGATCTTAATTTGCAGTAGCCGATGATGTTGTGGAGTTGCTAGAACTCATCAACAATCATATCAAAGATGGTGAGTAGAATAATATGGTAGAGTTCTCTAGCTTAAGTTGACCAATAGATGCTCCCGCAAGGCGAGACTTCAAGCAAGTTCTGGGCAGCGACAAAAGCCACTCCGAGATTTACAAGATTGAAAGGAATATTACATTTCCAGTAAAATCAACCATATCACCATCATGGGCACAATAGTTTGAGAGGTTATTGGGATCATTGGGCCCACCAATCATCTAAAAAAGAGGATGAACCTGCTCCCCCCACCCAGAAATATTTTGACGAAAGACCAACTCTTATACATCATAATTTAATTAATTATCACATATAAAAAATATGAAATGATTGAAATAAATAGAAAATAAACTCAAATAAAAGATGAAATAATTTTATAAGTTCCAAAATATATTTAGAATGTATAAATTAATTTTAATTGTATTTATCGTCCTTGAAAAATTCTAACACATGCACAATAAGGTAGACTATATATGTGGATAACTTGATTCTTAGTTTAGTCATCATATCATGTACACTTGATATCTTCTCTTAGTGTCTAATGTGAAACCACTTAAAAAAAATAAAGTAGAACTCTTAAATATCTAGGCACCTTTGATGCAACGATTGGAATTTCACTAGAAGCTCTAAAGTTAAACATACTCATAAGAAAAATAATCATGAGAGAAGCGACCGATTAGGATGGGAACCCCCTTTTTGTAGGATTAATTAATAAAAATCATAGTTAATTTATTATTTAAAAAGTTGATCTAGAGTTTTTTATGGAAATGTGAGAGGTTTGGAGGGGCATGGTTGAAGGAATGCTAGGACTAATCATATTTATGTTAATTTGAGCTTATTTGTATGATCACCTTAATTAGAAAATATGTTTTGAGTGGATTAAATGGGTAGAAAGCATTGTGAATGATTAGCTTAGAATGTAAGTTTATAATATGAAATAGATGATGAAATTTGGTGGTATATCGTACATGACTAGGTGCAAGAGAGCTTAAACTAGACCGAAGGTTTCAAAGAGAGTTTGTGTTGGTTTATTTTTAAGACTTGAGTTGTGAATAACCATATAGTCTTAAGAGATGGATAGGGATTAGGAGAAGATGCTAAAGAGATTTAGAATATAACTTAAGAAGAGAAATAATAAGCATAATAGATAACTAATAAATCCCATCAAAATTGGACAAGGTAGGCAACCAAGCACTAATCAAAAGAGAAAAGCTTTCTCCATTTTTTTATCATTTAAAGCTAAAATTTCTCATATTATATCAACACTATTTAAAAAGTTATAATGACTACCACAATTCAAAAATAAGAGAATTTTTTTGGGGAAATTATTACATGCATTCATTAATTCATCGTATTTCTATTAAATGGTTAGCCCATATATGTTCCCTAACATGAAAATCCAAAAAATTTAGATGCCAATTTTGAAATTTAAATATCAAAATATTATCTTAAAAATTTCTTCATGAGTGGGCTCTTATAATGGGCCTTGATGGGGCTCTAGCTTCAGCACATTTTAGACTCTTATTTGTGCTCTTGTGATTGACCTTTAATTTCATTTTTTTATCCAATTAATGTGGCACATTTTCAAACATGAACCAAACATGAACAAGCTGATATTAAATGAACACAAACATGAACACTCACATACTCGGCTCGGCTCGGTTCGTTTGCAGCCCTATCCGATGACCTGACCCAATATTTTCCCCTCTAAAGGGGGCAATTCATCAAGAAGGGCCTCATGGTATGTAGGTGAGTCTCATCGAAGTTTAATGTGACTTCTTTTACATGTAATTGACCGAGTATCGCACGAAAAAATTCTTCTTTTGTAAGGCTCCAAATGCAATTTTGTTGGCATGATTGAGGTGAAAGAAGAAAGCAAAATGCATGCACTAAAAGATAAGAAATTCAACTGCCAAAGACCAATCAAGCAGCCGAAACTTTTTTTTTTTTCCTCTGAAAGATTGAGAGTTGTCGTTTGTGCGAACTGATAATATAGAATCAAACAAAACAGAAAACCGTTTCGATATCCCCAAACAAAAGATATCAGGAACACATAAGTATTTGATCCAGCACTTCAAACTTACAGTCAAATAAAGACCTAACTGCAGCTCCACTCTTCCAACAAAACTGGCACTTCTTGCCTTAGCATCCTAAACTTGAAGAGTACCATCAGGTATTCCGGCTGCAGAAACCTTCTTCTGCTTGACAGGTTTCTCAACCACAATGGCTTGTGTTGTGAGGACCATTCCAGCCACTGATGCAGCATTCTGCAACGCACATCGAGCCACCTTGGTCGGATCTATGACGCCGGCTTCGACGAGATTCTCGTATTTGTCATTCATGGCATTGTAACCGATCTCCCATTCACGGTCCTTGATCTTCTCCACCACCACCTCTCCTTCAACTCCTGCGTTGTGGGCGATCAATGCGGCGGGAGCCACCAATGCCTGCACATATGAGCCAATGCTGCTTAAACTAAATATCAAGATACAAGATCTTTGATCCGTTATTCAACTTAGTTAATCGAGCCAAATAAAACCATAACTTGCATATGCCGTTTACTCCTGGTTGTTCCATTGTAATCTATGTTGCACATATACACCTATTTATAAAGGCATGTTGTATCTGATATACCGATACATGGATACGCCTCCGATACGGCACCGATACGTGTCGGATACAGCTTTGCTGAATCCAATTAAAATACTATATAATTTCAAAAGGACACGTGTATCCGTTGAAAAACAAAAAATATCCAAAAAAAAAAGGACCCGTCGTATTTACTTCCGCGGCTGCAAGCGAGGTTCTCTCATTTCCGAGATGGATTTGAGTTTCTTGATGATATGAGAATATTAGAAATTGCTAATATTTCACTTGATGAGCATGAATTAGAAACTATGATATTTATTGAAGATGATATAGAAGTTCAAAGACAAACCACTGAAGAAGCTAATCATATCATTCCTTCTATTCAATAGTTGAAACTTCATGTGCTAGACAATTTGCTTATGTTGTTGTAGTGGACATTTAATGCTTACTTTTATTTTGATATGATAAGCTACAAGACTATAAATGATGTTACTTTCATTTTTTTATAATTTCAAAATATTATGATTTGATTGTTTTCTTAATTTTTATGTATGATTTATAAATTATAGTGTGGTGTCCGCGCCGTACTCATATCCTAAATTTTTAAGAATTGACGTGTCCCGTATCCATATCGTGTCGTATGATGCAACATAGACTGTAATTGATAAAAGCACTATTTCTGCACCCCTCAATTCTTCTTCTTACAGATATAGTAGTAAGGAAGATTATCTAACCTTTTGCACAATGTCGGCACCTATGCGTTCATCAGCATCCTCAAGCTTGTCCTTAATAGAAGGAACAAATGTTGAAAGATGAACAAAGGCAGCACCACCACCAGGTACAATGCCTTCCTCTATAGCTGCAAAGGTGGCATTTTTAGCATCCTCAATGCGCAGCTTGCGATCCTCGAGTTCTGTCTCTGTTGCAGCACCAACCTTTATCACTGCAACTCCACCTGAGAGCTTTGCAATTCTCTCAGCCAGCTTCTCAGAATCATAAACAGAGTCAGTCTCAGCAAGCTCCTTCTTTATCTGGGCAATTCTAGCTTGAATTTCATCTTTAGTAGCTGAATCTGCAATGATGGTGGTGGAGCTTGACGAGATTGTGACCTTCCTTGCAGTGCCCAACTGCTCTACTGATGTGTTCTCCACCAACAAGCCTAGATCTTTGGCTTGAAATTCAGCACCTGGACAAAGAAAGGGAGATCGTGTGGTCCTGAGAGAGTGGAGCAAGAGCAAAATAGAAGGCAATGATTGATAAAGTTTGCCTTATTGTATTTCTATGTTAACATGGCAGAAAATTTAATGACAATTAAACTTCATTTCAATTCAACTCCTTCACTATTTCCTTTTCCATTTCCTTCATGCAAGCAATGCATACCTGTCACAATAGCAATGTCTTGGAGAAGAGCTTTCCGCCTCTCGCCAAATCCAGGTGCTTTGATTGCAGCAACATTAAGAATGCCTCGTAGTTTATTCACAACAAGAGTTGCTAGTGCTTCGCCGGTTACATCCTCAGCAATAATAAGCAATGGAGCTCTTAACTGTGTAGTTTTCTCCAATAAGGGTATAATCTCCTTTATTGTTGAAATCTTTTGGTCAGTGACCAAAACTTTTGCATTATCAAATTCAACAACTGATTTCTCTGGATTAGTAACAAATTGTGGGGAGACATAACCTCTGTCAATCTGCATAATAGGTTGTTAATGCACCATTCAAGTTCCCATCAACACATTATAACAGAAATAATAGCTCAACAAGTTAAACATGCAAAATTTCCTTGTACCTCCATTCCTTCTTCAACATCGACAGTCGTCTCAAAAGATGAAGATGACTCAATAGAGAGAACACCATCGGGACCAACTTTATCAATAGCATCAGCAATCATATCTCCAATAAATTCGTCATTGCCAGCTGAAATGGTAGCTACAGCTGCAGAAGAAAGTATGGCATCCATTAGCTCAGTTCTCTTCAGCAATTAAGAGGAGTTGATTTCAAAATTTGAAAATTTTGTATGGTAAAAAATGGTAGCTTTCCAATGACATAAATAAATAGGATGGTCAAAGCATTCCCATTATAATCATGAATGAGTACCTTTAATGTCACCACTCCCCTTAACAGGCCGTGACTTCTTCTCAAGTTCTTCCACCAATGCTGCCACAGTCTTATCAATACCCTTCTTGACAGAAACAGGATTTGCACCTGAAGTAACACTGAGCAAACCAAGCTTTATAATTTCCCTAGCAAGCACGGAAGCAGTTGTTGTCCCATCACCAGCAGAATCATTTGTCTTACTAGCAACCTATATAATGCCGCACAGAAAAATGAATGGAAGATCCAAACTTTTGATGGTTGCAATTGTAAAGCATCTCAAACAGCATAAGCCAATCATAAACCATAGTTAAGAACAGATGAAGAAACCGAATGCCAAACCTAAATTACCTCACGAATCAACGATGCACCAGCATTCTCCATAGGATCAGCTAGTTCAATTGCCCTAGCAATAGTAACTCCATCATTAACCACTTTAGGATTCCCATACTCATCTAGCACAACGTTCCTCCCTTTGAATTAAAAAAAAATAAAAAAAAAAGAGTTACTATAAAGTTTTAAAAAATATATCAGCATTAAAAACCTATCATTATCATAATTCTTTTCTCAATATTTAGGTTGGGATTATTTTTTATTGCTCACAATCCAATGATTCTTTTTGAAGCTGCATGAGGTGTTAAAAGTTATCAGTGCAAATGTTAAGAGAATAACTTATATCCATAGCACCTTATTTCTATCCTTCATTTCATTCGTAGTTCTGATGCTAATTAAGTTTAATCATCTGATTTTCTACCATTCAAGGCAAATGTTCAAACATGAACTATTTACTACTAAATTAGCATATCATTAAATGCCACTCCCACCAACCCTTGAATATAACTATTCCATAATTCATTATTCCTAATTTTTCCATGCATCCACCTTAACATTCTAATTCCCCCAAATTCAAGTCTCAACAAAACTGTGCCCAACATTCAAGGGTTTCAAAGCTTGCTTATGCATCAGCACTGAGATTAATTATCAAAGATTTATATATTTCCGAAAACAAATCCCATGTACCATTTCCAATAGATAACTAAAACATGTTTACTCACCGAACAAGGGTTCCCAATATAAGCGTCAGACGAATGCATCATATAGTCTAAAGTGGCAGGAAAGCCAAAAATTCCAAATGCAACGCAAAATGTTTGACATATTATCCCAAAAAATCCCATATAAAACATTTAGATAATTCTCCAAACAATTTTCCAAAAGGAGACAGAAAAAATCTTTACATACAGAAGATAGGGGAAGAAGTAAATGAAGAACAAACAACATTTTGATGGGTACTGGGTAGACCGATTCCCAAAAATTCCGGACGAAGAAGCCATACAAATCTAACGTATCCTTATCTTCACCATATTTCTCGATTCTACAAGAATTATAAAGGCAGAGAAAGGCAAAACTCCACATACCTCTCGGCCCAAGGGTAACGCCAACTGCGTTAGCTAACTTCTCGACTCCGGCCTGAAGAGCTGACCTGGAAACCTGGTCAAAGGCGATTTCCTTCGCTTTTGCTCGCACCACTAGCGCCCGCCGACCACCAGTTCTCCTCCTCAAGCCCTCACTCTGCACTTCAATGAAACAAAATCATCAGCAAATTATGTCAGGAGTAAAGAGAAAAGTAGAGAGAGAAAGAGAGTGACCTGGAGAGAAGGAGAACGGAGGATTGACGAGGACGAGATGGCGCCGGCGGATGCCATTTTGCAACGCTAAGGAGAACAGAGAAGGGTTTGAGTTAGGGGAAAGATATTGCTGCCTTTTAAGGGCTGTAGATTGGTGTACTGTTGTAGTGTATGAAGGAAATGAATTTCAGGTTTTCCCAAAAAAAAAAAAAAAGGAAATGAATTTCTAATAATTAAATAAATAGATAAATTGGATCCCCATCTTCTAGAAAATTCCGGCTCCTACTTATTTGGCCCAGTGGGCCTCAGGCCCAGTAAACTTATATTACTATATTTGTCATATAAAGAAAAATAATATATATACTAGATCGCACAATCAAATCAGTAAATTTTAAAATAAAAATTTGATAGTAATAAGTCAAATAACTAGGCAATCATAGAGAGAGAATTTATTATTTCACAATTAAACTAAAATCTCATACATAATTTTTTTTTCTGAAAAAATGCCGGTTGAATGTCTCCAAAGAAATTGATATATTGGAATATCTTATAATCTAATTTGGAATAATTATTCTTTTGTCTTTTAATAAATAACAATATAGCTACATACTTTATTTTATCAAAAAATGCTTTGAATATTTAAATAAATGTTACAGTTAAAATACCAAAAATTGTGCGATAAAAGTTCAATAAATCCGGAAAAAATGCAATAAAATTAATTATGGGAAAAACCAAACAGTTAAAATTAAAATATTTGAAAACAGAGATTTGATTATAATCATCTACAATTACTTGAGAAATTTATATAAAAGCGGCAAAGTGATCGAGCTGTTAAAAATCGACTTTCTCTTTTTCTCTTTGTTGTGATGCGATTCAAATAGGATTTTTTTTTTCATTTTTAGTTATTTTCAGAAATTCATATTGTTAAAAATATAATGCTTAAAGTGGGGATGAGCAGCCCCCATCTAGCTAAAAATGGGGTTACAATAATCTTAAATATGAGTGGAAGCAATAGCATGTTGAAAATTAACTAGATAATATTGAGGAATATTCCAAAAATTATTCAAGATAATTAAACTCACTTGAGTTGAAGATGAAAATCCTCCCTCAATGGAGAAATTATTGTGTGCGGAATCCGAATGCATTCGGATTCCAATCACAGCATGCCACATCAGCGGATGCACTCCGGGGCCCAGTGCATCCCATGATGTGGCGCATGGTGATTGGAATCCGAATGCATTCGGATTCCGCACACAATAATTTATCCCCTCAATGATCTCATGCAAAGATTTGTCATTACACCAAGAGTCCCACATAAGGGAAAAGCTAAAATTGGGGGTGACTTTGAGGCTTATGACATTTCTGATATGAATGGCAACATGACATAGGAATTAAGGAATACTATATTTTCCTGCACAAATACAACTAAAACAACCCATTTTCATTAATAAATTAACACAAAAAAAAACTTAATATTATTTGCACTTATCATGGAGTCCGCACATAGAGTTACGACCGAAAATGTGAGTGTGCACAGTGTGTACACACTATGTACAATCACAATCTAGAAATAGAATTATGTTCAGACCCCGTATATAATAATTTCTCCCAACAGTGAGTGCAAATGAAATGACACAAACATGCAAATTTTGTGGAGCATGAGTTCATTTTAAATAATTAATATTGAACGTAGAAAAAACTGGTCATGAACATGCACATTTTGTAGAATATGAGCTATTAATTTTAAATAACTAATTATAGTTTTGAATTAAAAAAAAAAAGAACAATCAAAACTATAACAAATGAACAATTGTTTTATTAAAAATTAATAAAAGAAAAATCGAAATTTAATTATTGTATTCTATATTTAAGATATGTTAGGGATGGATATATCTTATAAAGTTGGTTATGAAGTTATTGTAGGGAAAGTAACTTCAGTATTATTTGGAATCAATGTTACGATTATTTGATCTGATATTAATATTGATTCCAAATTTTAAAATTTTTACAAACTTACTAAAAAATATTAATTTTATTTTCCTACAAAAAAATGGTAAGAACTAAGCATTTATATTAAATTTCATATTTATTTTGATAAAAGCTACTAAAAGCTATTGTAGAAAATAGTAAGAAAGCAATCTAAAACGAAACCTATAACTATCATTACAAAAAGCTACAACCGTCCGAAACGAACTCTTAGACTTCATTTGAGATAGTTTTCTTATTGTTTTACTTTTCAAACAATAACCAAATTTTTTGTTTTTCCATTATTTTTTTTTTCTGCTTTAAAACTTTTTTCTAGGAAGCTGCTTTTTACAATAACTTTTAAAAAAATTATTTTCTTTACAACAGCTTTATAACTTCGTTTAGGACAACTTTTGACCACTATTTTTTCGTCTCTTCTAAAATCTTTTTTCTTGTAAAAGCTATTGTAGAAAACATTAAAAAATTATTCAAAAAAAAAAAACCTATAATCATCATTAAAAAATTATAATCATCTCAAACAGACTCTAAGGTTTCGTTTGGAACAACTTTCTTGCTGCTTTTTAAAACAGATTTTTAGTGTTAAAATTTAAAATTTATACTATAAATTTGCTTCAAGAAGCAGTAAGAAAGTCGTGCCAAACTAACCCTAAATTTATTTAAAATAATATTCATCATGGTCATAAGATGTGACTTGTGGAGCAAAGGCATGGGTCAAGCCGGCCCATTCAGAAAGACCACTTTGCTTTATAAACAGTAGCTCCATTCATGCCCGCTATTGCAACTTACAACATCAATCAATTACAAGCATTACATTTGCTGTCATAATGGGTAAGATCTTATCTTAATAATGCTTGTTTCTTTATTTGCTCTTGTTCTTGTCATAGTTGTGGAGTCTCAATTCAATTTCTCCAAATAATATATATCACATAATCAAATAAATAATTATTCTAAATTATTCACAGAATTGTAGCGGTTTAAATCACTGCTATTTATTATAATAGTTGTAAAACTATTATAAAAAAGACGTTGTAATGTATTATATTCACAAAACTCTTGTAGTAGTTTGTTATAAGCAATTTTGTATGGGTTAAAACCGCTAATATGGTATTGAGGAAGAGCGGTGAAAGTCAATGAAAGGGCTTTTGCTAATATTTTTATTCTATTCCATATTCTTTAGCCTAGGGTTGGCAAGAGCGGAGCTCTAGCCAACTTTAGGGCCTTTTTATGGATTGGATTAGTCATAATTTATTAGTAATAGTAAAATAAACATTAATTGTTTGAATCACATTCTAAGATTTTATATAATAAGTGACTTAAAGGGCTATTTGGTTGCCTGAAAAATTAATTCAGTGTAAAGTAAATCCAATGTAATTTGGAGCAGTTTGGTTGTATTGTAAAGTAAATGCAGGGGAACTATTTTTCTAACCCTACTTTTCCTAAGAATGTTCCTGTCGA